TACTTCAGACAGCTTCTCTTTTAAGAGGTAAAATCACATTCATATTTTCAATGGAGAAGGTGGAGCTGCAATTTAAAAATCTTGGCAAAAGACTCAAATGTATTATCTCCACAGCCTCAGCCCTGCTAAACCTGTCTAGACTATCCTTGTCCACAGTAATCACGCTCTTGGGAATCCCTAGCTTCCTTCAAGACATAGGTCAGGTGCCTAGTAGTACCTGCACAGAACTCTTCCTGATTCTCCCAGATTTTTAAAGCTTTTTCTTCTTAGTACTCTCTCTTTTTTGAAATTTGTATTAAAGTCTGCACAAAACTTTGTATTTACTGATCTACATACATGTTGTATTGCCTACCCCCCCCCCCAACTCTTCGCACTCTAATAAATTAGAAGTTCCTTGAAGGCAGAGATTTTTTTTTCTTTTTTTTTGGGTCATATAGTTCCAGCACCCTGCACCACACCTAGAACACACAGGCACCTCATAAATGTCTTTTGAATTGAAATTCTAGTGCACTGTCAATGTCACACAGCATATCTGCATTTACTAATGATTATCTTCAATCTGGCAACAAATTAATTTTTAATAATCTACCAAGACACACAAAGAACTCTATCAGAGATATACAAATGGGGGTGGGTTGGTAGGGTGGATACAAAGCAACACAAGACATGGTCTCAGCCCTAAAGTTGCCGGCAACGTTATATTTTCCTGTCCCAAAAAGTTCCTTGCATAGTAGTGGGAAGGGGGAGATATAAAGCTGGGTACTCGTTGAAACGGGTGAAGCAGAGGTCCCCAAGTTACACAGATTTTTTAAAAACATATTTTTTTTTATTCAGAATTTAACAAACCCCAAATGAAATAAGCATTTCCATATCCACTGTGGAACAGGAGAGGGTTGTATATGGACCTGCAAACCACTGTTACATAAAGGTTGCTTTTCTTTTTTAAGTACATAACAACTTTGTATAACTTTAAAAGCTGTCCTGTGATTCCTTCTGCTCTCCTCTCATTTGGGAGATAGGAGTGGGTGGGGGTGGGAGGAGACCTTAACCTAACCTTCTTTTCCTTCCCACCTCCCCCAATCAGAAAGTTAAGAGAACTAAAACCCTTATAACAAATATGCATAGTCAAGCAAAGCAACTGCCAGAGACTTTCCACTCATTTGAATTTCCCTTAATTTTAATCTAAAAAATCAGATTTGACTTTTAACTGCAATCAAGCTATTAAAAGAATAGGGAGACTACAAAACAGAAGAAAAACAAAGATAATTCAGAAAAACTATAACCAAGTACCACCTGATCAAGAGGAGACTCCAAGTACAATGTGAGCAAAAGAGATGGTCTGGACTTCTGGTACATCCTGCCATACTTGCCCTAACCTCTCAAGAATTTTTTTAAAAAAGTTTTTCAGTTTCAGGTGTGCTAGAGGTGATTTCTGCCATATTGTAGTTTTCTGGTCTAGTTAAAAATATAAAAAGGTCATATTTGTATAGCACTGAAGAGGCTTTATAATTTCCTTTGATCTTTTGTAATAACCATGCCAAATAGTATAAATGTTATTATGCCCATTTTACAGTTGGGGAAATCTGGGCTCAAAGGTTCAATGATTTGCTAAATATCACACCCAAAAGCTTTCACATTAACCTTCTTATTTTTGAACCCTAGCCTTTTATTTCAGCACTCTTTCCATAGCGTACTCTAAGAAAAGTGCCAATAGGCCTACTTTTCAAAAAGCACAAAGGGAAGAACTGCTTAATTACATCCAAACTGTCACTGCTCCTCTAACTGAGATCTGAACTTCAGAGCTGTCTCCGTTTTGCTTGGGGTCCTGAAGAGCCCAGACCCAACGCCCCACAATCCTCCCTGGCCACCCAGCTCTAACCCTCATGGTCATCCCCACATATCCACTCCACTGCCAAAGCTTCTCATTACTACCTTTACAATGTCTTCCCTACCAGCCCCCTTCTTTACTTACAGTCACAACCCTATTTCAAAGTTTTTATCATCTCTTACCTGGACTATTCCAATAGCCTTCTACCTGGTCCCTTTGCCTCAAGCTCATCCCACTCTAATATATCCTCCACTCAGCTACTAAGGTTATAAAGTCCTCTGCTTGGCATTTATTATCTGTTCACAACCTGGTCCCTTACTCTAAGCCCTATCTTCTTACGCTTTCCTCTCCTTCAAGCATCCTACAATCCAGCCACACTAGCCCATTTGCACTTAATCGAACATGGCTCCCTCTCCCTTTCTACTGCTATGAGCCATGCCTGTACTGCTCCATCCTCTCACTTCTAGCTCTTAGTTTTCAGGGCCTCCTCCAATATGCAGCTCAAACCCTGCCACCTTCTGCAGGCCTTTCCTGGTCCTCTCAGCTGCCACTGTCCTCCCCTCTCATATCACCTACCATCTACTAAGCAGACAGCTTGAACATGCCTCGGTTACAGACATACTGTCTCTCCCATTTGAATACCCCTCAAGGGCAGGGACTGCTTTTGCTTTTCTTTGTATCCTTTACAGTCTAGCATAGTGCCTGGAACATACTAAGTGCTTAAAAAATGCTTGTTAGATTGCTTTGTTAACTAAAAGGCATATTACATTGCTTTTCATCACTGACAGCCGTTCCTGACATAACGAATATACCCCTTTGGGGGGGGGGGCAGAAGGCTTGAATAACTGGGATCCATGAAAGCTAAGGGACATAAAGAAAGAAGGCTGAAGACAGTGGATGTATAGATCCTATGTAACTCGGGAAAGAGCAATCTTTGAGCATGGATTCAAATAAAAACCAGGTACCTGAAATCAGTGCTGAGCAGGGCAGGGCTTGTAGTAGCCCACATACAGGGCGTTTCAAAAGTCTTAGTGCAGTTTTAAACTGTTAAAGCCTAATACTTTTGGACACCCTGTACTAAGTGCATGCCAACACACACCGAGTATTTCAGTTATTATAGTACAGAAATCTAGAAGTGTGTGATCAAATTCTTTTTATTTCTAAATCATTGTTACTGAGAAAATTTGGGGGAAATCAGACTAATTTCTTTTCTAAAATGTTTCATTTGAACTCTGGCATGTACAGATTACTTTAAAAGATTCTTATAAATAAATGGCTTTTTAAAAAATAGATATATAAGTAACTGACATTTCAGTACAGAAGGATTTCCGGAGCAGTGCTTCTCAAGTCAGCTGTGAAAAATGAGCCCTTTCCATTTGGGGTCTCTAGGAGTTTAAGTAATAAAGAGAATGTTGGAAAACTAGAGAGATGATAGGGTGGAGAGCAGAGGAGGTATGACTCAAGCAAAGGAGCAGAGGCCGGGAGGATCTGTAGTTCAGGTACAGCAGGGATCCTATGCACAACAAAAAGAAATCACATCCTGGATTTAACTTGCAGAGTCTCAGATGAAAGAAGAACCAGGAATCAGTATTTTGAAAAACAAACAGTCCAAGGTACTGGACCCAGGGATAAGAAAAGTAGAAAATTTCCATGTCTAAGTAGTACTTCTTTGCTGGCACCCTTGGGCACTTCCAGGCTACCCTGTTGGCCACTCAATAGTAAGAACCTCATTTTAGGAGGTCTAAAGCTTAGCCCTCTGGCTTCAGGAAAGGAAGCTTATTGGGGTTCCTCCCCTTCAGATCAGTCAGAATCAGCACTTCCATCTCCAGGTCAAGGGATTCTGAGTATATCTGAGAAGTAAAGGTAGCGAGGAAAGGATCTCAGTTAATCTGGGGACCCTCACTCTAATCCCCTTGATTCTTTTGGCTCAGAGAAGTTTGTCTTTTATCTAGAGCACAAGGTTGCCCAGACATCCCGCTCCAGGAACAAAGTCCTGTATACCAACACCGGATAAGTCCCATTACATAGGACTTACATAAATCACTCCACATTTCCTTTATCTTCAGCCCTAAAGCTCTCTTTCCATCCTGTGAACCTTAGTCCTCTCTGCCTTTCCCGTATCTGACACAATCGCTCCTCTTAAATGTGTTCCTCCTCCATTCAACCTGTCTGGCCTCAATCTCCAATCCTCTTTTCTACCCACACTCCATTCAAGTCTCTGCTGTCCTTTCCCCACCTCTCTCCCTTGCCCCTGCAGCTCCCTGCCTCTCTCCATTCTCTAATTTTTTCTCCCCCTCCCCCCATTTTCCTTCGAGTATATCCTCTCTATTTCCTCCCCTCCACATCTGGTCCTGCTCCCCAATATCTCCTCCCTACTCCCTTTCTCCTTTCTGGATCCTCAAGAGTCTTCAATGACCCCAACCCATTTGTTTGGTTTTCCTCCTTGGTCTCCCCGGCGCTTAGCACAGGGTCTTTCACATAGCAGGGTCTTAACTGGCCTAGGAAGCCGGGCTGGAGAAGGCAGGAGCTAAGAGTCAAGTCAACAAGATGTGCCCGGACTCAGCCCGTCTTGTCTCCGGAGTGTCTTCCTGGCCAAGAGTCGCCTTCCTGAACATCTCGCACAGCTTTTCCCTACCCCTGGTCTTCTTTCCTCCTTCCTTCTTCTCGCGTCCTAGAAGCCCCCCTCCCAGGGCCCCACCAAGCTATCCGACCCCTACCCACACTCTTTTCGGCTCCCCGGTCCCCGCCCCCCTTTCTTCCCAGGCTCCTTCTCGAGTTCCAGGACCATCTCCACGGTTCCCAGCCAGGTGTCAGTACCTACCGCGCCCCGCCCCCCGTCTCCTTTTCAGAAGGCACCAGCCCCCTCCCCACCAAGCGCAGTCCACCCCTCCCCCACCTTCCAGCCGAGGCCCCCGCAACCTCTTGTTCGGTAACCCCGAGGGCTCTATGCAGTCGCCCCCTCCGAGCCCGGCACCCCGTGTCAGCTCCCCTTCGGCCTCGGCTCCGGTCCAGGCCTCGGCTTCGGTTCCGCCGCCCTCGCCGGGGCCCGCCGAGGTCCCTTTCCAGCAGGGCCGAGAGCGACGCCGGGACTGAGGCCCCCGGTAGTGCCGGGGTCCCACTCTCCGAAGGGCCCGCCCTCTCACTCAGCCCTCCCCGCCTCAGCCCCGGGCACCTTTGAACAAGTAGTCGTACTCGTCGTCCCGGGTCCCCATTGTCTCGGCTCTTCCGGCGGGATCGGGCCCGTCTCCGCAGCCCCACCACAAACACCCGACTGGGGGGCGGAGCCCGGCCAGCCGCCGAACGACAGTTCCGCCGGCCTATCGGCCGCGGGGCGGGAGCGCGACTGACACCGTGGTTGCCCTATCAGAACTAGCGGTCAGTGTGGGACCAACCCACTGCTTCCACCTACCGCGGGCCTGCAACCGAAGGAAGAGGAGGGGAGGAGCTTCCTGAAGTGACAGCGATATTAACCTATAGGAGACGGGCGCAAGAGCCGGGAGGCAGAATCGAGGAACGGAAGGAAACTGATGGTCGGCTAAGCTAATGAAAGGCAGGAGTCCGAAAGGTTTACGGGAGGAAAGGGGCGTAGGCCACGGGGAAGGGCTGGGACTGGAAGGGGAGGAGCCAGGAAACGGGAAATGATCTATTAGGTCTGAGAACTGAAAGGGGGCGACGTTGCAGTGACATCACGCGCAAGTCACTGGTCCTTCCTCTAGGAGTACTTTGACGTCACTAATTCACAGAGACGGAAAAGACTGACGAGTCTCCCCATTGCAGACCACTACCTCTGAGTCGCTGTGGCCACCGTGACAGCTGAGCACCCCTTGAGACCATTCATCACCCTCCTGCAGACCACCACCTCAGAGTCCCACTAGCCACTGTACTGATGACCCCCTCCTAGATCACTGCGTCACCTCACTACCGAACGTCATTTCAGGGACACACTGGTTACCCCTCTGCTGAGCATCACCCCAGAAATCCAACAGTCACATTGTCCAACACCCCCGAGACCCACTGGTCACCCCACTCCATCTCACCATCCCAGAATCCCACTCATCATCCTGCTATTGACCATCACCCCAGAAACCCTACTTTTTACTGCCACCTTGGACAAATCACCTAATACTCTGAAACTGACCATCAATCATCATCTCATATCCTTCCTAGTCACTCCCCCACTGACTCCCACCTCTCACATCCACCCAGTTGATGCTTTACTCGACCACACACACCGAACTGCTTACTGGTCATCTAGCCCCTGGCCACTATCTTGTCCAGTCATGTCCCCTCCATCTCAGAGACCTACCAGCCAAGCATATTGGGTGGCAGTCAGTAGCGGGCATGACTTGGTTAAGTGTCTGGTGGGGCAAAGAGGTGTCATAGTGCAGTAGAGATCAAGCACGTACATGAAATAACCATGATGTAAATTAGATGATAGAGGCACTGCGTGGCAGTGGCAAGAGGGCTAGAATTAGGACCAGCCTTAACCATTTACTATGTGACCTTCAGCATGCCACTTGTCCTTTTCCTCTCTGGGCCTCATTTTATTCATCTATGAAATGGGGAAGAGGGAGTTTAGACTTCAAAGATCTTGTCCAACTTTAAGTCTCTGACCCTGTCACTATTAAAAAAAAGAAAAAGAAACCTAAACAGTCACATTGCTAATGCTGAGACCTGCCTGGTCACCATTTACCATTAACATGGGCTCCACTCTTAAGCTTGGCATGGGCAGATAGGTGGCTCAGTGGACAGAGAGCCCTAAATTCAAATCTAGCCTGACACTGAATTGTGTGACCCAGGGCAAGTCAATTAACCAGACTGCCTCAGTTTCCTCACTCATAAATGGGAGATAATAATAGCACCTACCTCCCAGGGTTGTCATGAGGACAAAATGAGATATTTGTTAGCACCTTTCAAACCTTAAAGCTCTATATGTGTTAGCTATTATTACTGCTTGCCTAAAATTTTATTAAGTTTCCTACCTCTAGGGAACTACAGAAAGAGGAATCAGATAAGCAGTGTCCTCCCAGCTAAGTCTATCTAACCTAAGATCTAGTCACTGCCTATGCCATCTGTTTAGTTGCCAACACCACCTGTTTGTTTGAGACTCTGGATCCTAAGTCTTTATATAGATTAGTACACCATGAAAGAGGTTAAAAAGGAAACAAGACCTTCCTTCCTTCCTCAGATCATTGAGTCTGAAGTGGTGAGCAGCAGAGTCACCAGGCAAATTTGAAAGATGGTAGTAAGGAGGGGTGGGTGCAGGGAGAACAGGCCAAAGACCTTGCCTTACAGTGTTTTCTGGAGACTGAGGGGACTCTAGCTAACTTCACTCTGGTTAACATGGGTTATCTTTTCCTGCCCTGCTTCTCTTTCAGCTGTTGACCTGCATAATGTCATGAGTACCCACATATAAAGCACAGTGCCTGACACATATTAATCGAGGCTGGTTGACTGATTTCTCAAAAGCTGAAATACAGCCAAAGAATTCAGTGAGACAAATGGACTCTAAGTCAAGCTATATGAGGACTGGTTGAAGGACCTGGGGATATTTTGACTGGAGATTTGGGTGAGTGGGGGTTTGTGAAAAGGAAAGACGTTACTTGAAGGGCTGTGATGTGGAAAACAGAGTGTTCTGCATGGTCTTCTATAGCAGGCAAATTTCAGCTTGATATAAAGAACCTCCTCACTAGCAGAGCTGTGCAAAAAGAGGCCTCTTTGGGATAAAGTGGTGAATTCTCCATCCCTGAACATCTCCAAGGAGGAGCTACCTGAACACTTCTGGAGATTACATTAGTGATTCCTGTTTGGGCTGAATGAATTCATGACCGTTCCAATCTTGAGATTCTTTCATTCCTTTTATTACAAACACATCTGAGGAGGCCTGGTAATCCCAGCCAGACCCTACAACCCAAAAGATAGTAAATCTTTGTACAAGGCAGTTATTTACAAATTACCCTGACCCTTCAATAGGCCCCAGGGCTGGGCTTTGAAATAGAGGTGCTCTGAGGTCACCAGTCTAGATCCCCCACTTCTTGGTCCCATTATCCTAGTCCAGTCAATATGACTGAAGACAGCTAGGCAAGACTCCTAGTCAGTCATGAGCCCAGGATCTGGGCTTCTTCCCCACTAATCCCCAGGGTTAGGCAATCCAGCCCCTCCCATTCACTTGTGCATATAACTCCTCTGTGTAACAGGGTGGATGGTGAGAGGGAAAGCCCTTGCCCATTAGCACTGTTAGTACCATAGGTTTACCCTTAAGAGGGCAATAGATTAAAGAAGGGGAAGAAAGGAGTAAACAGTGTCTCTTCAAGAGGAAAAGGCTAGATTCCAAGGCCGGGCCTGGATCCTCTCATTCCTCTCTCGGTGAAGTATCTTTTTCAGTCCTGACCCTGGCCCAGGCATGTGTCCAAGGAGACTGTTGTCACCATGGGTGTTGGGAAAGGGGAGCGTGAGAGTTTTCTTTTTGCATTTATGTTGAGTCTTTGGCCCATTGAGCTCTGGCTCTTTTGTTAGCCCTGCAAGGCTCTCAGAATGAGGCTAGGAGGTGGTATCCTCTGTGGGCTGGATTAGCATAGTGGTGGCCTGTAGAGGGTAGTAGCGTCCCCGCCAAGTCTTCCAAAAGATGCCCTGCTTCCTCTGGTGCCGCTGCCGAGGAAGAGAGTGAAAATACTTTCCATTGAGGTTGGAATGGCCACAAGTACTGAACCACCAGCCCCCTGAAAAAAATGAAAACAGGAAAGTAGGGTCAGGAATTGTGTGGGGAAGGTAGAGCTACAAGGTCCTGGGTCTGCTGTAGAGGTCTAGGTAAAGGGCTGTGAGAATAGAGTTAGAACTCAAGGAGGTAGGCATCATGGTAGAATGAGAAAAAAAATACTGACTCAAAAAGTACTAGACTACAAGTCAGGTGCCTTGGGTTCTATTCCCTGTTCTCTGTGTGACTTTGGGCCTCTCTCTCTGGTCCTCAATTTCAACATCTGAAAATGAGCAGTGTGGAATAATAAAAAGAACTCCAGATCTAGAACTACATTCAAATCTAGGTTCTGCTCTTTATTACCTTTATGACCCTGGAAAAGTCCTTTAACCTCTCTAAGCCTGTTTTCTCATCTGTAAAATAGTGGGAGTTGGAGTAGATGACAGGTTTAGAGCTAGAAAGGTAGAGGTCATCTAGTTTAACCCCCTCATTTTACAGATGAGGAAATGGGGGCCCAGAGAGGTTATGTGGTTTTCCCAAAGTTGCATAGGAAGTAAGAGGCTGAGCCAAGGTTTGAACTCGGGTCCTCTGACTTCAAATCCAGTGCTCTTTCCATTGTCCTACCATGGTGACCATCAAACTCTTTTCCAGCTCTAAAGATCGATGGTCAAGCTTTGTGGCATAGTGGAAATGGCCCTGGATCTGGAGTCTGAGGGCTGAGGTTCCAACCCTATCTCTGCTACTTATTAACTGTTCAGTCTTGGGCAAGTCACATCACTTCTCTTGGCCTTAGTTTCCCCATCTGCAAAATGAGGGGTTGGACTAGATGATCTTCAAAGTCCCTTCTAATTCTAAATCCATGATGCTATCCATGATGCAGAGTTTCCTATCTGTATGTTGACGGTCATCTTTTTAGTTATAAATGTAAGTTGAACTGATTTCATTATTGATGAAATTATTGCAGTGCATAGAATGCAGAACTTGGTGTTGGGAAGACCTGCATTAAAATCTGGCCTCAGCCACTTTCTACCTGTGTGATTTAGGGCAAGTCACAAACTCTGTTTGCCTCAGTTTCCTCAGTTATAAAATGGGGGTAAAAATAGCACCTACCCACCAGGGCTGTGTGAGAATGAAATGAGATACTATTTATAAAGTGCTTTACAAACTTCAAAGTGCTATATAACTGCTAGCTATCATTATTATTATTATGTAGTTATTGTATATGTGAACAGGATGAGGGAAGATTCTGTTTCTGCATCTCCCCTGCCCACCAAATCAGTTGATATAGCCCAGAAAGTAATCGAAGGTGATGAGTGGATAGAGTGCCGGGCCTGTAGTCAGGAACACTCCTTTTCCTGAGATCAAATCTGGCCTCAGACACTTCCTAGCTGTGTGACCCTAAGCAAGTCACTTCACCTTGTTTGCCTCAGTTTCCTTATCTATAAAATGAGATGGAGAAGGAAATAGCAAACCACTTAGTATCTCTGCTAAAAAAAAAACCTTAAGTAGGGTCATGAAGAGTCAGACATGACTGAAACGACTAAACAATATTCTTATACACATGTACAAACACATGGGGGTGGAGTTTGAGGTTGAAACTAGA